CCGATAGTACGCAGATATGCCGCATCATAGGGAATGAGTGAGTGTCCAGAAGTAGCCAATCTATATTATTGCTGATTTTGACTAGCCATATTATTACCTATAGTCTATGAGAAATTGTAAAGTTAATTTTGTAAACTATAAGACCTAAATGTCAAGGAGAAAGAACAGAAAAAATTCAAAGAGAAGGAAAGGTAATGAAAAAACTGCCCTTTCAACTGCAAGAGAAGAAAGCTAACTCGATTTAAAAGAGTTTCATACGTATTGGATCCGTAGTGCATATAGCTGCCATACTCGTAAGGTGTATAATTGATGGAGTTGAATGTGGAAAGCTTTGCGAAGTTTCCGCGCTGATCTACCTAAAAATTTTGGGTTGCCTTGACAGAAAAAAAGGAATCTGATTATCGTAAACAAAATTCAAAATTACACATATGATTGCAGCACAAAGCTCATATTTCTCTAACTACTCTCCCCATCCTAAAGAGTTTCCAAAAATTCGCCTGCTGTTTGACCATGACTAACTTCTTAAAATCTTTTCAAGATTTTAATGGTTCGACTTGAGGGGCTGTTTTGACTTAAATTTTTACTTATAACACGATCTCTTACTCCTAGGCATTACGGTAGGATTACGGTACAAAGTTGTGAGTGACTTCAGCTACATAAAACACTATCGATTTGGAACGAAGATAGTTTTGGAAACACTGTTAATTATTTTGCTAGGGTTGTTCAGTACACTAAGTTCAGATATGATTACAATTTGATAAGGTTTGACCATGGTTTGTGCCAATAACACTACTGGCGCCAACCGTAATGTAAATCCACCGTAAGCGCCACAGATATAATAGAGATTCATAGATGAATCCTTTCAAGTAAGTGACTACATTTTAACAGACAAACAGTGGACACATGTTTCGAAAAACCGCTTATAAGCAAAACTTACCGGTACATTCCTCAAATCAATCGCAACATAATCGTCGCGATCACTTCGCATTTGTGTATGAAATGTTCCGAGGGTATGGGAAAACTCATGAGCAACAATGCCAACCTGCAAGATTCTTGAGCATTTTCTTGAGATTTTGTAATAAAGCGATCTCACCACATCACAGCCATTTCCCAAAGACAGGTCCTGTACCCCTCCTATCATTCCAATGTTTGACCAACATCCGGTGCCTTTAAATACCCGTACTCGATTTGGGGCAGTTGCATTCTCGAAGAATGCTACACATGTACGAGATTGGATGTAGTTTAGAGATTTTTTGACAATTGTTTTCATTCGAGCATCTGAAAAACTGGAATAATGATGAATTTAATAGGAGAAATATGAATAAAATATCTTTTTACCTATACTAGCAGCATATTGGTAGTATACACGTTTGTTGGGCCAGAGAGCCGCATTACTGGCCACTTGACGTTTAGGACGAGTTGTTC